ATTCTCTTGCATGTTCCTCCCCAGGTAAGGGTATCTTGAAAATCACAAAGATCTTCTTCATTCTTCTTTTTATAGCTGCACAGTACTCTGAGTGGATATATCACAGTTTATTTAGCTTCTCTCTATGTATAAGCATTTAGATTGTTTCCAATATTTTGTAATTATAAACAAAGCATAATTTTATTTTGACTTTTTTTGTTGTTGTTATGAAACATTTTTTTTTCTTTTATGTAGTTAAATTTGTCAAATTTTCCTTCTCTATTCCTCTAGTCTTAGATCTTAGTTAGAAAGCCTTTTTCTTCACCAAGGAAAGAGGAAGTAACTCATGTTTTCATCTATTATTTTTCTGGTTTCATTTTTTACACTTAGATACCTAACCCATTTAGAGTTGATTCTTGTTCATGGTGTGAAATATGGGTTAATTTTATCCAAATGGCTACTTATTGGTCCCAGCACCGTTTAATTAAAAAGTCCATCTTTACCCTAGTGATCTGAGATGGGCACACACTCGTCAGTGTTCTCAATTAAGTAGCAGCACAAGAGGCATCAAGAATACTACAAAATACTAATGATAATAACTGATATACAAGAATTGACACAAAGGACTTTGTCTATCAAATCAAGAGGTTTTTCAAGGACACTTTAATTTTCATATATTATCTTACTTTATCAAAGTACTAACTGATTTGAAAAATCTTACTGAAAAGAAGTTCTGCTTATTGGTTTGTTATAGATGAGAAGCAAGATTGTTGGCTTCTGCTCTATGTTTCTACAGCACAAGCTTGTATATTTGCACTGTAATATGGGGCACAATTACTGGGGTAATACTCAACTTTAAGGGACCATTTCTTGTGCAATGCTTAGTATAAAGTTAAAAATGTCCCATCTCTATGTGCAAACAGATGTATTTATGTATTTTGCTAAAGGAAAAAATAATAATAAAATTTGTAATATGTTCCTTGAGTAAATGTAAATAATCATTAATTTCCTACTTATAATACTTAACATTTTCCAAACACTGAATATAAACATCAATTTAAATCTAAGGGGAAAATTCTTACAAAATGTTTAATATAATTTTTTTCAGTTTTAAAAATTAGTTTCAGGTGTACAAAACAGTGCAATAGTTACACTTGTCACCCCTCACAAAGTGGCAACCCCCCTACCCCAATCTGCCGCCCCACTCCTCTCCCATATCATACATATCTATTACAATTCCCTTGACTCCATTCCCACACTATACTCCACATCCCGAGACTATATATTCAGTTATAGTTGACATACAATATTATACAACATCAGCTTCAGGTGTACAGTGCAGTGGTCAGGCCTCTACACCATCCATGAAGTGGTCTCCCTAACAAGACATGTGACCATCTGACGCACTACAAAATATTTACAACATTATTAATTATATTCCCCGAACTTTCTTTCATATCCCTGTGGCAATATTGTAGTTACCTGTTTATGCTGTCTAACCCCTTCCCCTTCTCCCCCATCCCCCCCTGCCATCTAGCAACCATCACTTGTTCCTCTATATCTCTGAGACTATTTCTGTTTACTTTGCTCATTTACTCAGTTTTTTTAGATTCCACATATAAGTGAGATCATATGATATTTTTCTTTCTTCAACTGACTTATTTCACTTAACATAATCTCCTCTAGGTCCGTCCATATCGTTGCAAATGGTAAGATTTCATTCTTCTTTATAGCTGATTAATATAAATTTTAAAACTCCCCTCTCTAGGTAAAAAACGATTTCTATTTTGCTTAAGAAAGACAATCATGGAATTTAAAATGTGATCACTTTTCAAGAAAATATAGTCACTAATTTCTATTAATAATATTTAACATTTTCCAAATACTGAACATAAACATCTTGAGCCTTTTTCTCTTGATGAGAGAGAGACTAATGAGTGACAACGTGGGGAGACTTAATTCTCCGAGCTCTTTTCAGCACTCATCACCATCTGACATATTATATATTTGTCTGTTTATTGGTTTTCTCCCACAGTGACAATGTGGGCTACATAACAGCAGGGACTGTATCTGTTTTGTTCACTGCTTCTTCAGCCTTGTATTATGGGCGTTGCAAACACACATTTTAAATGAATAAATGAATAACGGTGATGATGGAAACCCTTTAGCATTCGTGTATTTCTAAGATGGTATTTATTCTGATTGTTCTAAAGAAGAGGCTGAAACCAATTCACACAGAATATTTAGAAAAAAACAGGTGTCTTTCAAAGCTGCACTGAATTAGCAATAAATATGAGAGAAATCCTAGACGGTTTTCAGAAGGCCACTTATAAATGGACATGTACCAATAAGTGGCGATAATTAAAAATGCAGTTGGAGGAAACATGCTGTTTCTGGCTCCGAGCTGGACTGGATTTTATTAGAACCTTATGATATTGCAGATGACTCTCTATTCCTCATTACTAATTAACCATGACAAAAGACTTCTTTAAATACTGCAGATAGACATTTTACATTCTGTTTTTCTCTTGAAAATCCTCAAAAATAAGGAGAATAAGAAACACAAATGCAAACTCTATAAGGATATCTATAATCTCAGATTATAATACATAAAGATGAAAAGTATGTAGGGTTCATAGTGACTTAACAGATAGAAGGTGAAACCAATGCCTGGGGGCGGTAATAACAACAAAAGTTAAGCCAAACCATCTGTAAAACCACAGAAAAGCACAGGAATTAGAAGCACCAGGTACTGTGGAAGTGAAGGTAAGGAAGGGATTTGAAAACACAGAAATTATTTGCAGTTTCTATAAGGAGCAGTTAGAGTCTCCAGATATCCACCCCCACCCTGCTCAGAAGGTGACTACCTTCCTTAGCACCCACAGGAAAGAAAATTCTAGTCACTAAAGAAACTAAATCAGAAAGCATCTATATGTAGGGACACCAGGCACACAGCAGGCAGAGATCAGGTGCGGGAAGGAAAGGGGCTGAAGTAAAAGTCTCCATAATGAACGGTGAAACTGCATCCCTCTTCCCCTGCCCAGCTCCAGAATGCTGGCATCCAGGATATCCACCTTCCAAAAAGGAGATTCATGGGTTGATTCTTTGCTAGAGAAGATGACAGCACAAGAAAAAACAAACAAACAAACAAACAAAAAACTAATGGGCACTGACCTTGGGGTATTTCCAATAAAGGTTGGTGGGTCATCTTAAAGCTCAATAGCTATGATCTCTATACACACAAGCTTCCAATCAGCTTTTCAGTGCCTAATTATTACGGAAGAGATAAGAGAAGATACTGCATCCAAAAAACAAGAATAAGGTGCTATAAAAAAGAAGGCAACAACTGGAGAAAAAAAAAGAGCTATGAGAAATTGAAACTATGATAGCCAAAACATTTTTTTGTGAAAGGATTGGAAGGTAATGTTGAGGAAATCTCTTAATGGTGATTCAAAAACCAAAACAGAAAAGCAAAAGTATAGAAAATAGGAGAGAAAAGTTAAGAAAATGTTTTTCTAAATCTAATTTTTGATTGAAAGGAGTTGTTGAAGAAGAGAACAGAGCAAATGGTGGCGAAGAAACCATCAATAAATAACACTAAAGCATTTCCCACAATAAAAGAATATCTCCAGGTCTCACTAGGTACCAACAGAACAAATGAAAAAAAAAAAAAAAAAGACCCAAGAACAATGGTGATAAAAAGAGGATACTAAGAAAGAGAAAAAGGAAAGAGGAAAGGAATATATAAAGGGTTAGGAATAAGAATAGTACCATGTTACTTAACAGCAATACTGGAAGCTCAAGACAATGGAGTCATGCCTTCAAAATTCTGAGGGAAAATAATTTTAACCTAGAATTATATGCTATGTCAAACAAATAGCCAAGTATAAGAATGGAATAAAGATGTTTTTAAAAACATTAAATCTCAAAAAACTTAACCTTCCATGCATTCATTCTTAGGAAGCTACTGGAAGATGTACTCCACCCAAAAGAGGAATAAAATCAAGAAAGACGGTAACATGAGATCCAATACAGAAGTAATAAGAATTTTGAAGATAATAACAGGTGCTAAGCTGCAAGAGCATCCTTGGGTCGAGACTGAGCTCAATGAAGGGCTCTAGGATGATGTCTCCAGAGTAAAAAATGTAACTGATGTGGAAAACTGTATTGAGAGGCATTCTACAAGGCTATTAAGGGTTATGGTGTAACTTAGCCTTAGGTGTGAAGAAAAATAGCAAATTTTTAAATGAGGCATTTCATAAACCCAGGAAAAACAAAATTGTTCAAGAAGGAAATTGTTATCCTTGGTTCCACAGTGAACCATATTTACATAGTATTAATACTGAAAATATAGATTCAGACAAAAATCATGATATAACTGTACTGAGATGGAGGAGGAAGGAAAGAAAAGAGGTAAAATTCTCAACATCTATAATAATTACCAATGGGTAATTACAGCAGTCTATGAATATTAACTAGAAATATGGAGGTAAAGATCAAAGAAACAGCCCTAAGAGGTAAAAGTGGCTATCTTTGGGAAGAGGGTGGGTTGAGCAGGGGTGGAAGGGAACTGCAGGTTTTTACTGTAACTCTTTGAGCATTATTTGATTTTCTAAACTACGTACATACATTACTCTGAAAAAAATAGAAATTTAAAACCCAACCATATAAAAAATATTACGGATGGTATAATAATAGACAGGATGGGTTTTGAACCAGGAATTAACTACTGATGACTTACACTGTGAACTTGGGTAAACCATGTAGCTTCTTTGAGTCTCAACCTCCTTATCTATTCATTACAGAAGTTTGATTATTTCTAAGGGATTTTCCAGCTCTAAGGTTCTGGTTCCATAATAACAAAGTCTTTTTCCAGGAAGAGCAGAGAAGGAGAAACTTTTGTCATGTTCTCACGGTATACCTGTACATATTTTTGTTCACTTTGCCAAGGGTCTCCCTACCTTTGCCCCCTTGATGTCCAAATGGAACTAGCATGCCCGCGACCTGGGAATGCTATGTACCTGTGAGGCTAGTCTCCGCATAGCTTCCTCCTGTCGCCTGCGCATTTCTGGAGTTCCTGGACAGCTTCCACTGGTGATGGACGAGTGGGCTGAAGTTGGCTGTGTGAGTGGCAGCTCTCTGTTGGCATCCACATCTGGATTAACAAGATGAGATGTTTGCATCAGATAATCATAAAACTCTGAACTAAAGGAAGATCGGTTAAATTCCACTTGTTCTATGATCCAGGAATTCCACTTCTAGGAATGTTCCCAAGAGAAATAAAAACAAGTGTCCACACAAAAACTTGTACACAAATGTTCAAAGAAGCAAGGTTCGTAATAGCCCAAAAGTAGAAACAACCTTAATGTCCATCAACCGATAAATGTTTAAAATGTGGTAGGTATATCCATCCATACAATGGACTATTATTCGACAATAAAAACAAATGAGATAGCAATATGTGCTACAATAAGGATAGCCCTTGAAAATATTACACTCACTCAAAGAAGCCAATTAGAAAAGACCAACAATGTATGGTTCTATTTATATGAAATGCCGAGAATACAGAATCTACAGAGACAAAAAATAAATTAGTGGCTACCTAGGGGTGGAGGTAGGGAATGAAGGGGAGAATAGAGGTTGACTGCTAAGGGGAATAGGATTTCTTTCAGGAGGGATGAAAATGTTCTAATATTAGATTATGGTGATTGCTGTACAACTCTGTGAATATACTAAAAAACACTGAATTGAACAATATAAATGGGTGGATTGTATGGTATGTGAAATATAGCTTAATAAAGCTGTTTTTTAAAAATTCTATTGATTCATGTTATTTAGAAAATGTCTCACCTACTACTAGAAATTATAGAATATATTTATGAATGCAAATCATACTTTCAAAATGGGTACAAAACTAAGTAGACTGCTATTTGATGGTCAATAGCTACTGAAAAGGAGGAGGCATCGGGAAAGGTAGTTCTCATTTAACTCCCTACCAGTAGGATTAAATTGAGATGTCTTCCCTCCAACTGGCAGAGTCAATTTCCGGGTCACTGGATAGAGTTCTGAATAATTGTAGGAGGGTAGGTGTGGGAGATGGCAGTGAAAAAGCTTGTAATGTGTCAGTTGAGGTAAAGTTCAGTGACTGTCACTGGATCACTGCTGTTGTTCACGCCCTCTCCTCACCCCATTCCCCTTTAACTGGTATTTGACTTGGTGGGTAATTATTATCTGAATACCTCCTGTCTTCTAGCTATTCCCTTTAAATATGCCTTCTCTTTTGTCTGAGTGTCTTTCCTTTCTGTTTGGTATTCAGAGAACAGTAGAAATAAAAGTTACTATGTAGGCAGGCTGCACAGCAAAACAGACTTCTAAAATGAGCAGAGTAGGGAGGGTAAGGGTTACTTACTTAACAGCTGTTTGGGGGCTTGGCATCTGTTGGCAAATGTCAAATTCGAATAATAACTACACTGAGGCTTAGTGATAGGAAACTGTAGTCTTGTATTAGACGGAGCTGCCCTAACTGCTGTGCTGAGTATATTTGCAGTTAATGTAACAATGCCTGAATTACACAACCGGTCTATTTTCACAAAATGTTTTTGCTCTTTGGGTGTATGTGTTGGGGGGTGGGTGATGATGGTGGTGGGGGAGAATGACGGGGGAGTCAGGTTTGGAAAGGGGTGTAGGCGGAAAGCAGGATGACAGGCTAGTGCCTGCCTTGACAACTTTTCTGTACCTTACCAAGGAAATGACAAGGAGGGGGCGGGCTGGGGGCTGAGTGTCTGTGGGGGAAGGACAGAGCCAGGCAGTGCAGACTGCAGGCTAAACGGCTCACGTCTACAGCAGCACTGCTCAGTGTGCAGGAGGCAGGGGCAGAAGGAAAAATGATGGATGATGCAGAGGTGGGACTTTCCACTTGTTCTTATTATTGCTATGATGACCTGACTGGTATCACTGACTGCGGGTTAGGAGGGCCAATGGGATTCCAAACACACCTATCCAAGCTTAATGTCAATTAAACTCTGTAAAAATTTAAGCCAGCTCTCTATATAGACATCATTCTTATTCTGCTACTGCCAGCAGCATTCCAGTGCCGGCTCATACAGTAACAGATTAATGCTGAAAACAGCTTGGGCTTTCTCAGTCACTTATTCTTGACCCTTCTTAAGGACTAGCGGTTGGGTTAAGATGGCAGAGGTAGACTGAAGCTTGGAGGGCAAGAGATTACAACAAAAATTATCTTGTTCAAGGCTGGCTCTGTGTCACTCTGATAAATATATAACCACATATTCTAACTCCTTTGACACTTTCATGTTTTGAAAGTTAACTATCAAGCCAAATCTATAGTCTCAACATGTGGACATTTATCTCATGAATAGGAGGGAGTGAGTATCCGTATTTTTAGTTTCTCTGGAGATAAAAGGCAATGGATGTTAGACAATAACTTAATGAACTACCTTTAAAGAAACTCTGCTTTGGGGAGCACATGGGCTGTTTTCTATTAACTCTTGCTCTCCCCGACTTAGAGAGGGGGACTCCCAGGTACCTCTGCTTTCTGAGAAAGCAGCTCTTCTTGCCCTTGGCGTTTATCCTCTGCCAAGCATGATTCTACCACTCTGTTATCTGCAATAGCGACAGACAGGAGTCAGAAAGGCTACTAGCTATCTGCTTTTCTTCCTGACACACTCAAATAGTTAACCTCTTGGATTACTCAGATAAGAAGCAGTTTGCTGTAATATTTAACTACTCAAAGGAAAATATTGGAATAGGTGTGGAAAATCACTTTCAACCATGAAGATGTTCTTAGAATCACAGAATTGTGGCACAGGAACAAATCTTAAAGATCATCTAGTCCCACTTCATCATTTTACAAAATGAGAAAACTGAGGTTTAATAAGTTGAAATTCTTAAGGTTACAAAGTATAGTCAAAGTGAGTGTTGGGGCTCAAATGCTGGGTTCTTGAGTCCCACGACACTATGCCAACCTACCTCAGAAAAGCTTCATGTAGAAACTAAGCATGACATTGCTGTTAAGAAAATATTTCAACTTTCATACCAATTCTTGCCATAATCTGGGAAACAGGGACTCTTGATTCAAACAGTTTTCTTTCTAGACACTAGTCCTACATGTTAGATATCCATAAATTTGCCACAGGCAGTCTGCCTTCTTAATGACATGACACTGCTAATGAATTTCAACAGAAAGCCAGGATGGCTGGCGGGTGTTCAGTGAGTTCCTGCTGAGATTCGGCGCTGTGTCCTCTGCACTCACTATGATCTCAAACAAACCACTCCTAGTGGTTGTTGTCTGAAAATTTGTGGTGAGTTAGATTATTGAGTTGGACTAGCAGAGCAATATTATTTTTGTTGTTATTCTCTTACAACTAACAGAAACCAGGTAGAGTGGTTCTATACTTACAGTGCATATAGGAAGGACCTCTATACATTTCCTTTTATATCTCCTTTACTCGAGTTCCACCAATAAGGAGAGGCAGCATAGCAAAATGGGTACGAGAATGGCCTCTGAAACCAGACTGCTTAGGCTCAAATTCTAGTTTCACCATTTATTGGCTATGAAACCTGGGAGGCTTACTTAACCTCTCTTGAGTCTCGGGTCACTTATCTATGAAATAAAGACATTAGTGACCTTACTGAATTGATGAGAGGATTGGATAAATTCATATTTGTGAAGTTCTTGGAGAATGTTTGGTATTAAGGACCATATGAGTATTTTAAAAGTAAATAAACAAGATCCTTGTGGTGATCATTAAGCTTTGGCCTGCTTAGGATGAAAGAAGCACACGTTTATATATAATCTCAGCATCTTCTCACAAGGAAGCAGGAGAAACCCTTCAAGGACACAGTGAAGTTCAAGCCCAAGCAGTGCAATGCTGACATCAATAGCAAGGAGATGAAGGCCGCAAACAGATTGTGCTGGCATGTAACAAGAAGACATGGGCGCAGGCTGAGTAAAAGCTGACAGTGATGGATGCAAATGGCTTTTAGAGGCAATTGCTGTAGTCATTTTCCAAAGGACAGACTAACCAACCAGCCAGCAGGGAAGAGTCATAAATTTATTCTGAGAGAAAGGTTTTTTTCAGTCACACTTAGGTGACTGTTGGATATGTGGGTTAAATGTAAACAGGATTATATTCCTTCCCTCAACTCTGAGTAAATGGTCCTCACATGTAAGTTGTGTTTTGCAGGTCAGAAAATAAAAAGGAAATGAAACAAGATCAATATGTCAGAAAAAAATTTCACAGCCATGCAGCGGGGAGTTCCTTGAAAAGGAATACATACGTTTGGGGGAGGCATGTGGGCTGTCTGAGGCGATCTGTCTCATCCGTGTTCCATGGCAGCTGAGGGCCACAAGTCTGGAGATGATGGCAGTTTTGCCGAACCCAATGTTTCCCACAATCACTACTCCTTGGTTCACGCTGGCATTTGCACTTTGAAGTTGAGCATCTATTTCGTGGAAAACCCAATCCCGGCCAACAAAAACTGACTCTGTAGTGATGCTGGGCACTTCAAACAGCAGAGGCTTCAGGGAGATATCTGGAGGCCTATAAGGTGCAAAGCGAACTAGAAGGAACAAGAAGAAAACACAGTGCTTAGGTCAAACCATCAACATGGAGAGAAATAAAGAAAAAAAGCAGTATGGTTTACGAGGCTATTAGAGTTACAGGATGATGGTATTCTGCTTTATTCAGAAAATAATAAAACTCTGAATTTTGGTTCTACACAGATAAGCAATGGCAGGTGAGTTAGAACCATCTGATATCCTAGTTGGCAAAACACAAACACTGCTCCAACAGTAGTGATTTATGAACAGTCAGAAAGTCAGGGTAATAGTCAAAATTATTACACAATGGGGATGGCTGGGGCACCAGCACCAGGATGGATGCAAAGTGGTAAAGATATAGGGTCCTGAAGGCCTCCTTCTGTGCCTGGGGGTAGCCTTTTAATTGTTGGGTTGTGGGGAGATGCAGAGTTGAGGAGTTCCTGGGGGAGAGACCAGGCACCCAGCTGGCTGACAGCATTAGCTCTTTCCCAGCCAGTAAGGATGTATTTCAATATTTAATAACCAATACGGCTGCACCAATACCTATTAGTCCTGTAGAAAGCAATGTAAAGAGGAGTTGTCTGTTTCTTTAAAAATACCAATGAAAACAGTAATTCCTGTAAATTCATGATGGTATTTAAAAAAATATATTAGGTATATTAAGGGAAGCAAAGCCTCTAAAATCTCTGATGGTTTAAAAGGTCTTCAACATGTTAAGCACTTAAGGAAGCAGAAACCAAACTTTCACCTAATGTCTTTGCACCTGCACTGATTGTATTCACATCAATTAAGGAAAAAAAAAAAGATTTTTGGCTTATACATACCTGTCTTGGGGAGAAATCCCTATAGCTTTACTAAAGACTTTTTTTCTGTGCTTACGTAGTTGTGGCATATGCTAAGGGCCAAGCATGAGCTCTATTTTTAATAGTTCTCTAAAAATGCATATAGATGTGACTTAGTTTCAAAGATCAACCTTCTAATTATATTGATGGTAAAAAAAAGTCCTGCCTGACCTCCCTTATCTGGGCTAAATGCCTTCCTAACTATTCTGAGAGTAGCTCTGAAATGTGTCATTTCATCTGTCTGGAACCAGGTATTTCATTTCCGTATCTTTAACCTTAGCACAGTGCTAATTTAACACACAGTAGGTGCTCAATAAATGTGAACTGAAAGAACCAATTACAAATAAGGTACTTCACTAACCCCATTTTATATTTTGGAGAATAAAGGCTAGGGGTGGGAAGGGGACGAGAACAGATGGAACAGAAATCATAATGGGGGAAATGAGATCTATTTATACTGCTTGTATTATTCTAGAACATACTTAAATCACTTATACATCATAAAATGACATCTAGAAATGGCAGCTTACTTGACAAAACACACATAAGCATGCATACATGTACATACTCTCATTTACAACGGTCTGAGAGCCATTAGAAGAACTGAGCACTTAAAAAAAGGGTAACAATTCCAAAAGCAGTGCAAATAATTTAAAAATATAAAGCCAAACTCTAATTACAGAAGCAAATAGTTTCCTATTTTCAGTTTTAAAGTGTTCTAAATTTTCATCAAAAAAAGGGGCAGCTGTGGAAATATAGCTACATGGTCACTTATAATTTCTTGATTCACATCTCCTTGTCAAAACTTACTATTTTCGAATTCATGACTATAATTACAGAAATCTGAAATATTAGATTTTTAACTTCCTAAAAATATTCTTTTTAATTCTAGTGTCTTATAGCTAAGAGTCTACTTTACTTTTCTTAAATATTATTTTATTGAGCTATAATTCACATACCATAAAATTCACCTTTTTAAAGTACATAATTCAGTGATTTTTAGTATATTCACAAAGTTGCACAACCATTACTAACTCCTGAATATTTTTATTATCCTCCAAAGAAAACCCTTTATCCTTTAGTTGTCACTCCCCAGTCCCTCTTCCTTCTAGCGCCTGGCAACCAGAGACTTTCTCTCTTTACAGATTTGCCCTATTCTGGACATTTCAAATAAATGTTATCATACAATATGTGGCCTTTTGTGTCTGGCTTCTTTCACTAAGCATGATTTTGAGGTTCATTCATGTTGTAGGACTATCAGTGTTTCATTCTTTTTGTTGCTGAATAATATTCTATTATATGGAGAGATCACATTTTGTTTATCCATTTATCAGCTCAAGAACATTTGAGTTGTTTCTACTGTTTGGCCATTATGAATCATGCTGCTATGAACATTCATGTCCAAGTTTTTATGTACATGTTTTCAATTCTCTTGGGTGTGTGTGTGTGTGTGTGTGTGTGTGTGTGTGAGTGGTATTGCTGAGTCATATGGAAAATCTATGTTTAACTTTTTGAGCAAGTTAATCTGTTCGATTTTGGTTTTGCTATTTTTTTTACAGAATAAATATCCACTATAGAAAATGTAGGAATAGATAAAATAATAACTATATTCCCACTAGCCAGAGAGAAACACTATTCACATATATTCTGAGTTCTGCCTACACCAATATACTTATTTTAAAAATAAGAAAAGGGATCATACTACAGATACTGTTTCATGATCTCCTTTTTACATTTAGCAATTCCAGAGTTCTCAACAAGCTGATTCTGTCAGACTTGCCAACTTAACGGCTGCTCCAGTGGAGAGACTGATCCTTGGAGTGCCTTACTCCACCATTTTTCATGATGTCGCTTGACAGTAGGGGGCTGCTAACCATTCATGGGGTTTCCTGGGTGTCTGAGTGCCCTTAGTGGGCAGACACTCAGACAAACATGCTGAGCTCTGGCTGAACAGGCACAGGACTCTCCGGGAGGAGAAAGAAAACAGAACATCAGTTGGCTTGAGATGAGTCTAATTAGCCTACATACCTAAAGTCGCACAGAATTTAGTTAAGGAACACAGAAATGTCTTCAAAGCTAGAATCAAAACTTCATTCTGACTCTAAAACCCAGTGTTTTCTTTCTATTATATTATGTTGCAACTGCTCTATAGGCTGTCACTGTTAAATCTTGAAGTGACACCAGTTCTCTCACTGATGACTGGAATTGATGGGCTTAGCTGACATGTTAGGCTATCTTCTTTCTCCTTCACCTCTCCTGTGCTTTCTTTCCTTTAGGAACTGCATGTGTGGCCAGAGATGACCTTTCCAGGGAGGGAAGAGCTACTCAGAGACACACAGTTGCTTTCTAATCTAACTTATCTCAAGTCTGAGGTTACATTTTGCATCAAAAGGGGCTTTCATGAATATGACCAATGCCAATTTATAAAATGGAATAAGTAGAGACTCAATTTAAATGTTTAAGTTTTTGAGAAAAACTCAACATAACTTGTTCTCATGTTGATGTAATCTCTCATATTTTATTCTACTGAGAAAGCTTTGACATTTAAAAAAGTTATTTTAAAATTTTTCTAAAAATGTAATCAATTCACAAAAGCCTCAAGGGAAGAACAGACAAAATTAGCCTAGTACCATATGGTAAAACAAGTGGAGCTACCAAGAAGAGCCTAGAAACAATTTCTGTACCTCTGAACCTAAGGCTTTTGTCAGATCAGTACGATAAAAGAAAGACATACTTCTTATGTGCCAACAGTAAATTTGGGGCATATGAACAAGGAAGTCCTTTGGCCTGTATCGTGGGACATGAAGGTAATGAATATTCTCTGTGGAGTTCATGTTCCTAAATAAATGTTTCTTTGTTTGGGATACCAGCTGGCTTTGAAGAGGTTTTCTAAGGCAGAAACCACTGAAATAACCCAGTGAAAAATTACCACTGCAATGATAGCTGAGCTCGGGGGAAAAAGATGAGCTAATGCATACCATTTAGTAACAGATGTGGCTTTCTTAGCCCCGGCACTCCAGAGGTGGCAGGCAGTCCCTGGGCAGCAACAGAGCAGGACGACCATCCCATCCTTCTCAAAACACGCTAATAAAGTATATTGATATCTGGAATTTACTTTGAAATTCGTAAAAAATGATGGGTGATAATGATAAAATGATAAAGACATGGGTAGATGGATATAGACAAGTGATAAGATAGTAAAATGCAGATGACATAATCAAGTTGGTGGGTATGTAAGTGTTTATTGTAAAAATTTTTTTTTTGGTTTTTTTTTTGTGTGTGTCCGAAAATTTTCCCACAAAAATGTTGAAGGGGAAACATTCCAATAGGGCACACAAATAAGACAAGCTTTGGAAAGCAGTTTTTAAAGGGGTTTAATAATCAATTGAGACTCCGATCAGTGTGTGCATCTCTTCAGTGCAAATTAGGCTTGCAGCAAATGAATTCTCTCTAGGAAACAGTGTCTGTGAGGCCATCAATAAGTATAATTATATACCTAGGCTTACAGAGAAAATTGACCTTTAACTAAGGTAAAGAGTAAACATTTAGAAAACAAAAGTGCATTAAGGCTAACAGATCGGCTGGCCCACATGCAAATGTAAACAGCTGCAGCAAGGGGAAAGGGGACGCGGAAGTCAGGGCAAAAGAGCTCTAACTGGATTTAGACTAAAGCATATTTACTCATGGAAAACAATCATGAATCATCTTAAAAGAAGTCGGTCACAGGACGGACCGGCAGAAGAAAGGGTGTGTGTGACAGTGCCAAGGTCTGCTGAAAACAGGAGCAGAGCTGTATTTCCTCACATTCTTCCATAATGACTGTTAGGTCTAGCCTGGAAGCACCGCTGTTCCTCAGAACAAAAGATAACTGCTTAGGGTTCAGGCCATGTGTACTATTCACAGAGCAGAGGAAAAACACATGTGCTTCAGACAAAAACCGGTATCACATTAGCACCAAACGTAAGTAAAAAAACATGTCTATTTTTTAAAGAAATACTTAAACCAAGGCACAAGCTCATTTGTCTACTGAGTTTCCAGAAGGCTCACTCTCCCATTTACAAGAGTCCAATCCCTTTAGGGTCTATTGTTTCTTCTGGGTGCTCTGGAATAGACTACAGTTGGCAGCTATTTTTCCTACCCCAGGAAATGAGTTTTTAAAGATTGTAAAGCAATTTGAA